TCATGTTCAGCATCCGACCACGTATTCTCCATGACCTCATAGTGCGGATTATGCCGCGCCGCCAGGTGGTGTCGTAAGCCTTCGACAGGTCCAGGGATGCTATCAGACAGTGCTCGTCTGTGCTTGGAAGCGTTCTCTCGAGCTCGGAAAAGTACGTGTCGGTGCCTCGCCCGGCACGGAAAGCGTGCTGTCGTTTGTCGAGTCGCCCGCTCGACTCTAGCTCGGTGATCAGCTTCGCCATGAAGCTGGTGAGCGAGATTGGACGGAACGCAGCGGGTCCGGTATCGAGGCAGTTTGGCTTCGAAATGGGCACCACGATTGCATTTCGCCAGCTGGTGGGAAACTCTCCACTACGCCAGATACGGTTGAGCAGCTCTAGCAGTGTCATCTTCACGGACAAAGGTAGACGTCTAAGCATTGAGTACCCTATCATGTCGGGTCCTGTCGAGGCAGCTCGCCCTTTCTCGAGAGCCCACAGAAGTTCGCTTAGGGTAATGTCGCTGTTGTACACGTCGTCCGAGTTTGGCGAAACATCTATGGACTCTCTTTCAGCTGCTGCCTTAGTCTTCTGAAAAGAAGTAGGGTAACTGGAGGTCGCTGATCTATCGCTGTAAAAACTGGCTAGCGCTTCCGCAGTTTCTTCGAGGTCATCGGTGAAGCCATCCGATCGCTTGAATGCGACGGTACGTTGTTGTCGGCTGCCACGTAGCGTGTTCACCGTTCGCCACAGTTCGGTTGTTGTGCTGCTTGGTGCAATTTTGGCCACGAACTTCTCCCACGAACGTTCTTTTGCTTCATTTATCACCTTCCGTGCTACAGCTCTGGTTTCCTGAAACCTCGCCAATGCAGCGGGTTGATCAGGATCAGATGTCTGCAGCCGCCGCAGAGATCGAAGACACTTTCGTCGATGTCTAATCGCCGCCTTCGCTTCAGGGCACCACCATGGAACCGCTTTAGGCCCCATACGGCCGCTGGTTTGCGGTATGGCACGAGTTGCTGCTGCAATTATCTTCTCCGTGAAGCTGTCTACGTTCCATTCAACATCTGGCCGGATGGTTTCTGCGGTGATACGTTCATATAACGACCAATCAGCGCGATCGTACAACCATTTCCGCCGCGTCGTTTGTGAGGATGACCACCCAGGAATAGAAACTGTTATCGGGAAATGGTCACTATTGTGCGTGTTCGGTAGGGTTCGCCACGTGAATCTGCGAGCCACACTCTCGGAGCAGAAGGTCAAATCGATTGCAGAGGTGTTGCCTGTGGCCGGGTCGATACGAGTGGGTGAGCCATTGTTCAGAATTACCAGCCGCTTGTCCAAAGTAGCTTCGGAGATCAAACGGCCGAGTGCGTTCACTGTTTGTGATCCCCATGCTAGATGATGAGCGTTGAAATCCCCCAGAAACATGATAGGACCTTCCAGTCGGTCGAGTAGATCACTCAACGCATCCTGACACTGTGTTGAGCTCGGCGGGACGTAGATAGAGACTACAGTTATCTGAATCGGTGTGTGGATGCGCACAGCGACGAGGTGTAAGGAGGTGTCTACTTGCAGTCGCTCGAAAGGTATGCCTTCTCGGACAGCAAGACCAACCCCGTGTTGCCAGTAGTGCGTGTTATTGGATTCCAACAGTAGCGTGTAGTTCTTGCCGAAGTAGTCTGGTGGTGCGACAGTCTGATTCACCTTGGTCTCCTGGAGTGCGATGATGCAGGGTTTGAGTTCAGCTATGAGGAGTTTCAGTTCGCTGATGTTGCCCCTGAGCCCACGAATATTCCACTGAAATGCGAAGCAGCCACCGTGTGATGGACGACGATGAGGATATCGATGGTCTTCGTGTCGGTGTCGGTCGCCTGTAAAAGTGCAAGGTGCCGCAGTAATCGGTGCTGGTAACTCTATCGATTCAGAACTTGCCTGTGGGACGCTTGGCCCCACAGTGCCGGCTGCCGTCGAAACCATTACACTAGTTTTTCCAATACCGACAACAGCCGGCACTGGGGAAGCACTTTGTGTAATATTTGCTCGACGAGTACTTGAAGGACTTTCTCCGGGATATAGCTCTGGTGGGGATGTAACATGATCTGTAAAGATATTGGGCACGGCAGTACCTTTTCGCGGTTGTATCGTGATGGGACTTACCTGTGGGACGTCTTGCCCCACAGTGTCAACCGTTGCCGAAACTACTACACGATTTCTTCCCAAATTGCCGGCAACAGCCGACACTGGGGAAAGACTTTGTGTAGTATCGTTGCTTGCTATGGTGCTGTCAGCCGTTGAAATCCATGGAAGAGCTCGGAGTGAAGAGAGTGACGGGGTGCTGTTGATTTTGGTTGCTCGTGTAGGGCGGCGGCCAGGGCAAAGAAGGGATACACCTTCCCCCTGCCGTCTATCCCAAGTTTCCAGTGTCGTGGTGGTGTCGTAGTTTCCATCGGCAACAGCGGTGAATTCACCATCAACGGGGTGGAGAAAGACGTCCCGGATGGTTCCTTCAGCCTGCTGTACTTGCGTTGGAAGGAGTACTTCACTTTCCTCACTTCCAAACCGATTACCTTCGTTGTCAGTATTCGTGCGTAGGTCATCATTGTTATCCAAACGTTGTTGTGAGACGGGGTTATCAAAAACGCTTGTATTGGCTGGCGAATTTTCGATTGTTGTGGGTAAAAAACGAGGTGGTATTATGGTAGGGTAGGTGGTATATTGTTCTATCGCTTCATAATCGACCGCAGAGGGGGATTCTCCATCAACGGGTTGGGGTAAGACGTCCCGGATGGGTCCTCCGGCCTGCTGCGCTCTCTCCAGTGAGAGTGAAGGGGGTACTACACTTTCCTACTCTTCAAGTCGATCGTTGTTGCTGTCCGGTTCGCTTGTCAGGTATAAATTGCTGGTCGGTGTTAAACGTACGGAGGAGTTTTCCTTATCGAAGATGCTGGTTAGGGGGCGTTTCTTCGATCTCAAACACCAACATCCAACATCCAACGAACTCTCAAAATAGATTATAAGTGATGCACAAAAACTCAATGAACATGTTTGGACAGGTGCCGTCATTGAGAAACGTTACTGATGTTCATAATCTACATGAACTTGTTTGGAGATGATTCGTTACTAAGGGCCTTGTATAAGTCATGGTTGATCTTGGTAAGTTATTTTATATGAACTGCAGAATAACTTACACGTTCTTTAGGTATTTGTACTTAAATTGCCTTTATATCTATCAAAAAGCGTTCGTAATTCCTTAAAATATGCTTTAGAAAAAATGGGGACTGAAAGGGTTAAAGGAGGGCAATAGTTCAAGGTTGGTCAAATGAAGAGCTAGAAAAATTGTCTCCAGAAAAATTCCTTCCCGTAAATACACTGCCGTGAAAGTTTGATGGTATTGTAGTAGAAGCGTTCTGAACTTAACTTCTTGAAATTGAAATTATCTTGGCTTGCCTTGAAGGTTGTCCTAGCAGATTTCTGACTCAATTTGCCTAACAAGTGTTGAACACTAGCCCTTGAAATCCTCCTTAATATAGATGTATAATCCCTGTTAGGGACCATACACAAATGACATAGCATTTGAGGGGGAGGAGAGGGTGTTTCAGAAGTTGTGACCGATCATGTATTAGGTATGGTAAAATACGCTACGATGGGGGAGGGGGTGTTCTAAAATTATCAAAAATGCTACGTCATTTATGAATGCTCCCATAGTGGCTTGGATTTGCCCTAAAATGTATCTGCATTTCCTTTGACGATTAGTTTGCCTTTCCCTGTAGGTATCCTTGATTTGACGGGTAAATTCTTAGATCTTATTGTGAAGCTCTACTGCTGGAATTCCACTGAACTTGTACGGGAAGCCGTCTGAACTCCTAAAAGCCCCTGGATGTCTTGGTGTGAAAGGCTTTCTGGACGCTGAAGGTTCTTTTGGGCTGAACCTGGAAGCTGAACACCTTCGCCGTAGTATTCTTCAGAATCGAACCATGTGTGTCTCTGTAAGTACCTTGAGTTTGCCACGAAAGCCTTCTGGGCATGCCCTGGGGACCGTTTGAACCTATCCTGGAAGTTTTGGATTCTTCTGAGCCTTAGTTGAGTTATCTTGCTCTAATATCCTAAATTGGACGACTTCTCCTAATGGTCGTTCGTTAGAAACCTTCAGGACTTGTAGAAGTTTTCTGGACCCTGGAGGTCTTATGGACTAAACCTAGGAGTTCAAAACCTTTGCCCTAGATTTTTTCTGAACCAGACCAAAAAGACGTTCTCTGGAGGTCCCTGTAAGTCCATGTAAGTGTCTAGGATTTTCTCAAGATGTCATCTGGATGCACCATACACACTAATCCAGGATAGGGTAGGTAACTTTGAACTACTTAACTGTTCGGTAAAAGTTTAACAATTAGTGAAAAATTCAAAATTTAGTGTATTTATTCCGAACAGGCTTTGTTGAGTTACCCCTATCTAATGATAAAAAAAATATAATTTGTTAATTTTATTTATATATCACATGTAACGGTCCTTTGAAAATTCTATCGACCTGTTCAGCTGTTCAAAAACCCGGCAAAATTCTACCGACTTTGGAGATCTGAATTCTATGTGTAAATGTCGTTTGAACTTATCGTAGAAGTTCGGTATTTTTCTCTGATATTCATCTGAACAAAGCAAGACCATGCTGGAGGTTGTTGGGTTCGATTCCCGGTCCGGTCTAGGAATTTTTCGGGTTGGAAAATTTCTCGACTTCCCTGGGCATCTGGCTTGGAAGATGTTTTTCACGTTCCCGGAATACAAGATCTTGTCGGAAGTGTTGTAATTTAACTCTGCAATTTCACTATACTTGTCCTAATGCCCGTCTTGACGTTTTGAAAGTCCTCAGGACTTGTGGGAGATTTCAGAACCTTGTATGTTTTTTGCACTGAACCTGGACGTTCAAAACCCCGAATGTTCCGGTCCAACTCTTCCGTCAGAATTCCAAACATTTTACAACCTCAACGACAGCGCTTCTGATCTAACTCTGCCCCCTATCTTCCCCTTCCAGATTCGCCCTCCTGTGGCACCAGGTGCCGCTGCTATCCGCCACCCTGGAGTGCAGTAGCAGCAGTAGTAGTAGCAGCAGTTTTAGCACCAACGGAGACGCCACCGGTGGTGACGCACAAAACGGTCACTGCAGCCGCATTCTTTGATTAGCCCAGCCTCGTCCAGAAGCTCTGCCACCGCCGCTGCCGCCGCCACCGCCAGCGTCAATGGTAGACATTGTAGACATGCAGCAACAGCAGCAGCGCACCCTAAAGCGCCAGAAGCAACTTCCCACCTCGTACTACGATCCGGCCTTCACCAATCCCTACTACTACCACGCTGGGGTTCAGCAGCAACAGCAACCACCACAACCGTCCTACGGAAGTACCAGCAGCAGTAGTAGTAGTAGTAGTGGCAAAAGTGGCCACGTCGACAGCGGCAGCGGCAGCACCGGGCAGGGAAGCAAAAGCGGTGATATCATCTTTCCTAAAATTGATGTGAATAGTATATTCTTCTGAGCGCGAGAGTCCAGCAGGTTGAGATGGGAGCGAGTGATATTGCATGACAGGTGACAAAAAAAAGGTAAGGTGATTGAAGTTATTCTAATGATAGGTATTAGTTACTTCCCAGTTATTTCTCAAATTGATTTGAAGCGAAAATTTGGCAACGTTTCAATTGAACAGTGTTCAAGTATTTCTAACTATCTGGAAGTTATTCCAGCGGTAATTGCCATTTAAAGATTGATCTGAATTTCCGACTTTGAACAGGCGGTTTTAGTTGTCTGACCACTTTTAAAATTGCGTTTATTCCACCTTAGATGGATGCTTTATTTATAAAACCAGTGAGACATTAAGAAAAGGTTCGATTCAAATTTATCAATAATGGTACTTTTTTAAGATGACCGCGTTGAAAACCGAACCGTTCGCATGCCAAGATACCGTTTGAACAAATGGACTTCCGAATGACTTAGTTAATGATAATTTAAGATAAGCACAGCAGAAATTCCACGAAACTCACTTACCCTCAAGTGGGGGCAAGCAATGAACAAATAAATCTAAAAAAAATCGCAGAACAATCGTTGAAACTTATACACACATACAAGCTGACATATGATGAGATTTATGTACGATGATGGTCGAATAAGATTTAATTGAAAAAACAAGATAAGAAACGTTACATTTTAAAACCTGCGTTGCGCGTCGAGTTGGAATTGGGAATTCCAACCAGGCCGACAACGGGCAGACAGACAAATAAAAGAGAAACAGAAGAATGTTGACAATGTAAGATGCTGAGTTTATATATTTAAGACGACACTAGGGCGGCACAGCGAGATGAGTACTAGTAGCGATCAAAGCGCGATATTTAACAAAAAGAAAGTGTATAGTGAAATGAGTTGAAGGAAACCCGATGGCGACAAACGGGGCGGAGAGCTTCCGCCGCCTTTGAATTGGACAAACGATAATAAATATTGACGTTCTTTTTGTAAATTAAGGTTTTTTTTTAGCAGAGTCAGTTCGTTGTAGAACCAAAAGAAAGCCTCAGCGGTCAGAGTGATTCAACTCACACCCAGCTGTGTTCTGTACCTCATTTAATAAACATGTCCTCACTATCCTGCATAATTTCCACTAAATGATCTCAGGATCATTCGGTTTTTCCTCGAGCTGTTACTAGAAGCCCTCCAAATCTGTTGGAATCGCTTCAAGATTTATAGAATATTATTTAGAATCTTTCCTTAAAAGATCCTTGATCTTGTTCGAAATAATTCCTAGTATGTAAATAAGGAGTAGTATTTGTGATGGTTTTCGAACCAACGGTACTGCAAGGGTTATTTCCAAAATAATAATCACCGCAATGAAACACAGAATGTGGGTGTTATTAAACGGTTGATTATAATTTTCCTGGTAAGGAACAAGGTTGTACATGAATTCTGTTAGTTGTATATAATTCAATAGTGTGTGTGAGTTCATATTTTAACATGTTTTTATGTTGGTTATTACATAAGTGGGTGTAAATGTATGTTTGTACAATAAGTTGACCGAAAACTTGACTTACGTTTAGTCCCTTACTTTCAGTCCCTGTCTAGTCGGATCGTGTATTTTCGCTGGAGTCGCTGTTTACAATTAGCATATAATCAATTTTTAGCATAAGTTTAACTGAATTTGCCTTACCGTGATTGTGCAGTTTAGCAGATAAGTTTAGGTTAGGCTCGAAATAGGTGGTAACGACGCAATGCAATACTAGATGTTACATATTTCATTAATTTCAATAACAATAATTCAATGCAGTATAATTACCTAGTATTACGTCAGCAAACACTAATCGTAAGCTCCTTTAGGTTAACAAACTAATTTAAGTTAAATGTTAGTAGTAACTTAGAATAAGATTTCTCTGCACACTCTGTTTTTTTGATATTGTGTTTTATGTTTTGTTGTTTTTCCTTATCCTACTCACCCTTTGACAGCCGTTGACGTTACCTGTAATGCCGCTTTCCGACCGTCTGTTGTATGTGTATGCGTGGTGCAAGGTTTATGCAACATCAGGTGCGCTGGCAGCGAGGGGCTCGCCAACAATCCCCCGGGTACGTCAACCAGGGGACTACATCTCGTCGCGTCTGATGTCCAATACGGCTAGCTTAACCACCGGTCGTTCGTATACACCAGTGGCGGTTCGAATTGTCGCCGATCTCACCTCTCCATCTCGTCCGGGGCGTGTCGCAATCACTCTTCCTTTGGGCCTACAGTTGCGAGGATGGTTAGGGTCCACTATGACGACTACGTCGCCGATTTTTACCGGTAGCGTACTGGAAGCGTACCATTTAGTCCTACGCGTAATCTCCGGTAGGTACTCAGCTACCCAACGTCTCCAGAACTGGTTGGCGATGATTTGCGAAGCACGCCAACACTGGCACACTACGGCACCGCTGTCATCAAGTGTGGTGAGCGGTTTGGCTCCGTTTGAGCTTCCCAGAAGAATGTGATTGGGGGTGAGAGCTGGGGCGGCGTTGTCTTCGATCGGAACATGCGTAAGTGGTCTCGAGTTCAGTGTGTTCTCGATCTCGGCTAATGCGTTGCGCAATACTTCGTCCGACGGACGTCGAGGCAAGTTTAGAGACTTGAGGCTGGGTTTCACACTGCGGATCAGGCGCTCCCAGCTCCCATCCATGTGTGGTGACGATGGTGGATTAAAGGTAGTTTCGGAGCTGGTGAACTCCTTCATCATCGCTTCATGATCGAGCTCTCGTACCACCCGACCTAGCTCATTGTTTGCGCCCACAAAGTTGGTTCCACGGTCGCAGTATATGTAGCGTGGAACTCCGCGGCGGGCAATCAGATTGCGGATGGCCATCACGCATGAATCTGTACTGAGAGAGTGTGCGACTTCAATGTACACTGCTCGCGTGGTCATGCAAGTGACTAGCATTCCCCACCGTTTTTCAACCCTCCTGCCAACAGTGACTTCCATGGGACCGAAGTAGTCGATTCCTACGTGGGTGAATGGTCGAGAATGCGCTGCTAATCTTGCATCAGGAAAGTCAGCCATAATCGGAGGATTCGGCACAGCTCGATCGTTTTTACAACGCTGGCAGTTTCTTCTGACCTTGGCACAGCAAACGCGGATTCGTGGAATGGAGTACTTCTGTCTCAGCTGGTTGACTACGGTTTCTTGGTTGAGGTGGTGGTATTTGACATGATAGTGGGTGATGATCAATGTGGTCACGTGGTGGTCACGGGGTAAAATTATCGGATTCTTCGCTTCGTCGGTGATGAAGCGGCAGCAAGATGTGCGTCCGCGCATACGCAAGATCCCGCTATCGTCGATGAACGGAGATGATTTGAACAGCGGGCTGCTTCGTGGTAACGGCTTTCCTTGAAATATGGCAGCAATCTCTTCAGCGAAAGTATCCTGTTGGGCTTGGCGTATAACACTCTCTTCAGCTGCACGTATCTCCTCCATATACAGTGGACCAGTGCGACTAGGTTGATGCATGATCCTACGGCGACAGTTGGTCAGGAAGCGGAAGAGGATTCCGACTACGTTGACTAGACGTTTCCAGCTGGAATAATTGGTAACGCATAGCGCCGGTGACGATGTCGAGACGTGTGCGACTAGATGGGATCGCAGTTCTTCTTGCGTTGACTTGTTCACATTCGTTTGCTGTGGCCAGTCAGCTTCACTCCGCCAGAGAAATTTGGGACCGTTGAACCACCTGCTACCAACACTCAAGTCCGGTCGCTCCTGCCACTTCATGGCGTCGTCTGCAACATTTTCTTTCGTTGGTACCCAGCGCCACTCAGTTGCTTCCGTAGTATCGAGGAGCTCACTAACTCGGTGCGCCACGAACGGTGTGAACCTACGGTGGTCCGAGTTGATCCAACACAGTACATCTCGGGAATCGGTCCACCAGCAGCGTCGTGTTACTCTGATGGTCAAGGATTCTGCGATGGTTTGTGCTAGCCTTGCACCGAGAACTGCGGCTTGCAGCTCCAGCCTGGGGATCGACTGAAATTTCAAAGGAGCGACTCGGGATTTTGCTGCCACGAGAGTACATTCCACCTCTTTGCCGTCGGAGAATCGAAGATACGAAACGGCAGCGAATCCATTTTCACTGGCGTCGACAAACGTATGCAACTCTGTTACGCGATCGGGGAACTCCTGAGCGTGATAACATCGAGGTATTTGTACGCTTTCGACTTCAGGTAGCACACGCAACCAGGTTTGCCACTTCAAAAACAATTCGTCGTTAATCTCCTCATCCCATTGGGTTCCTGAGCGCCATATTTCCTGCAGTATGACCTTCAGGTAGATGAGAAAGTGGGCAATCAAACCAAGAGGATCGAAGACTGACATGAGTACCCTCAGTACTTCGCGCTTCGTGAGACGTCGTTGTCCTTCCAGCAGCGCCTTGTCGTAGCGAGTCCATCCTACCTTGAACGTGAACGTATCCTTATCAGTGCACCACCACAATCCTAGCACTTTTTCCGTAGCCACTTCTGCCGTCAGATCCAGATTCTTTACCTTCGCGTCGTCTTCTCCCAATGACTTCAGAACCGCAGGGGAATTACATATCCAGTTGCGGATCTCGAATCCGCCTTGGGAGTGGACGTACTTGACTTGGTTGGCTAAATGAACAGCTTCCTTTGCCGTGCTTACGCTCACCAGCATGTCATCCACGTAGTGCCGTTTGATGAAGGCGTCGACTGCTTGTGGATACTTCCCAACAAACCGCTCCGCATTCAGATTCTTAACGAACTGTGCGCTGCTGGGTGAGCAGCACGCACCGAAGGTCATGACGCACATTTCGAACACGACGACTTTCCCAGATTCGTCTGTCCAAAAGAACCGCTGACATGGCCAATCCTGTTCCCGGATCTTCACCTGGTGGAGCATCTCGCGTAAATCACCGGTTAGCCCTATCGAGTGTTCTCGAAATTTCAGAAGAATGAAGCAGAGCGAGCACAATTGGTCAGGGCCCTTCATTAGAGCGGAATTCAGTGATACTCCGAAGATCTTTGCAGCTGCATCCCACACTATTCGCACTTTCCCGGGCTTGTTTGGATTAAACACCGGAAATACCGGTAGGTACCAGGCACGTGAAACAGGTAGATCTTCTTCTTCCTTGGTCAGCTGTCGTATGTATTCTTTCGAAAGATATTCTGCAATTTTCTGGTTCAGGGCTTTGGCCAGATCGGGATCCTTCCTCATGCGCTTCTCCAGCAAGCTATGCCGGCGTAATGCCATTGGCCGACTGTCGGGTAGACGGATGTCGTCGTAACGTCAAAGTAATCCTGTTTCGCACCGGTCACCTTTGAGACTGGTTAGCGATTCCAGCATTCTACAGCTTCGTTGATCCTCGGAGGACAGCAGCGCTTCACTCGATTTCATCACACCAAGACTGTCGAGGGCGAAATATTCCTTCATGGCTTGGTGCAGATCTTCGTCCGAATGGTCGTCACGTGACCCCACGTGAAACGAGTAGTGTACCATGTTCGGCGCATTTTCGCCGTTGCTTCCAACACACACGGTCCCCCCTCCCCAATCGCGTCATGATGGCAATTGGTTGTTCCTGCTTTCCTTCTCGGCTCCACAGTACGAGACTAACGTTTGCGTGCTTCAGGCCGATCAGAATTCGTGGTCGGGCGTCTTCGTATGACTCGATGGGTAGGCCACGCAGATACGGTAGGCGACACTGATGCTAATGGGAGTCGCGGAGGCTATGAACCTCATTGTCCTCTGAAGACGTAACCTTCGCAAGCGCTAGCATTGTCTGCTGAATCCTCTCGGCATGACCAGGCCGACTAGCTCCACTTTCAGGAGTCCATTGGGGCTGCGTTGTCCGATTCAGGTGATCCCCAGAGAGCAAAGCATCGGTTGAAGGCAAAGCGCTGCGAGTCCCGGCCCAAGAGTTCAAACTGGGAGGAATTCCTGGACAGCATCAACGCTGAAGGAATAGCGATGCCGGTGGTGTAGTAGTAAGCGTGATTACCTATCAC